AAAAGTTCATGGAAAGTATATATTGTGAAGAACTGCATGAATTTCAAAATCTTTTTGCAGCGAAAGTTGTACTAATTTGTTATGTCTGAACAATGTAGTTTGTGACACTAAGAAGGATATAAGCTTGAAATGAGCTCTTACTTGAGCAAAATGAATTCTGCTAACATTGAAAGTAAGAAGAAACATCAGATTTATGGTGAAGGTTGGGTGGAAACATGGTGACGTCATTGATACTTTACAAAAGTTTATGGGGACAATGTCTCAAACCAGTTTACAAATGTATAACTTTTTTAAAAGAAGGGATGAGACTACATTGAAGATGAAGCCTGAAGTAGCAGATCATCCACATCAATTTTTGAGGAAAAAAATAAATCTTGCTTGTGTCTTAATTGAAGAGAACTGATTAGTGGCAGGAAGAATATCCAACACTGTAGACATCTCAATTGGTCCAATGTACATAGCTCTGATTGAAAAATTAAAGCTGAGCAAGCTATGTACTCAGGTACCAAAACTGTTGCACCCAGACCAATTGCAGATGAGCAGAGCTTTCAATGGAAATTTTAAAGTGGGATCAAGGTCCTGAAGCATTTCTTGGAAAAATTGTAACATGAGATGAAACATGGTTTTACCAGTATGATCTTGAAGACAAAGTACAATCAAGGGGCAGGTTGTGCCCTTTGGCTGTTTGAATGATTGTATATTTCTGAGTGTTTTGGTGCACATCCCAAAAAAAGAAAAACCAGAGGGAATAGAAACAAATACAATTGAAGCATTGAAGCATGCAGGGAATTGTAATCATTGCAGTGAAACAACCTGATGTTCCCCCATGTAAACTTATCATTCAATTCACAATAAAAAATTAAAAAAAAAAAAAAAAGTACAATCAAAGCAATGGCTACCAAGAAGTGATCCACTCAAAGCCAATCATGGGTCAGGATTAAAGGTCATGGCAACAGTATTTGGGGATGCTCAAAGCATTTTGCTTGTTGACTTTTTAGAGGGCCAAAGAATCATTTCATTATGAGTGTTTTGAGAAAGTTAGCCAGAGCTTTAGCAGAAAATTATCCAGGAAAGCTTCACCAGGAAGTCCTCCATCATTCTCATCAAACATGGACAATTTTATGAGTTTCTATGTAAAACCATTAGGGATACCTTACAGTCCTGATTTGGCTCCTCCTGACTTCATTTTTGTTTCCTAATTTTTTAAAATACCAAAATAATTTTTCTTCAGTTAATGTAAAGAAGACTGCATTGGCATGGTTATTCCCAGGACTCTTAGTTATTTAGGGATGGACTAAATATGGCTAGTATCATTGAGTTTATGTTGAGAAAGTTTATATTTTTAATTTTTACCTTTTATTTACATGTTTCCATGAACTTTTAAAAGCCCCACCCTTTGGTGTATACACACACACATACATCGAAATTTGGTAGTGCAGTAGGTTAAGCATTTGGGTTGCTAACAGCAAGATTGGTGGTTCAAACACACCAGTCTTTCTAGGTTATTAGATAGGCAGTCAGTCTATTTCTGTAAAGATTTACAGTAAGGAGTAGTTCTGTTGGGTCACATTCAATCAACCCCACAGCAGTGGGTTTAAATATATACACATGGGTGAGTCAAATAGTATCTCTCCAACATCAAAGAAATCTTCATTAAACAAAAATATAAAAATGTGAAGCTATTATTTCTCAGCATATCCTCCATCTAGGTCTATATACTTCTGAAGGTGGTGTTTTCATCTAGCACTTCTTGGTGTGGTGCTGTAAGATAAGCACTGGACTAAAAAGGAGCTCTGGTAGCATAGTGGCTATGAATCGGGCTGTGAACCGCAAGGTCAGCAGTTAGAAACTACCAGCTGTTCCACGAGAGAAAGATGAGGCTTTCTGCTCCGGTAAAGATTTACAGCCTCGGAAACCCTGTACAGGGTCGCTATGAGTCGGAACCGACTCCACGGCACATAACAACAACAACTAACCACAGAGTCAGCAGATCAAATTCACTACCCACACCTCAGAAACAGGGTTGCTGTGAGTCAGAACCAATTAAATGGCACTTAACAACACTTCCCCTGAAGAATTCTGTGTTCTTGGATTTACACCACATCAAAAGGGGAGTTTTGGCATCTTTGTGGAACTCAAAATCATGTTCCTTTTATATGTTCTTTGAAGTTGGGGACAAAAAAACAGAAGTCTGAAGGGGCAAAATGACGCAAGATGAGGGATGTAGGATAGATGGGGTAGCAAATTTCTCACAGGGCAGCCCTTGCTACCCTTTAAGAATATGCAGGTACTTAGTTCTGATAGGGAAATACTATTTGGTACAACTTTTCTGGCCTTTTTCTTACCAATGCAGTTTTCTATTTTCTTAGAACTTTCTAAGCCTATGGTTGTCCTGCATCCTTTGAAAAACTCTATCAAGATTACCCCTTTGGTAATCCCAGAAAACAATCACTGTAACCTTCTGAGTTGATCTCTCTGCCTTGAACTGGCTTAGCAGAGCCCCTCAGAATTTAGTTTTTGTTGACTGGACCTTTTTCCTTCTGAGGGCACCCTATTAAGACTGAAACAAGTGTATTGCTGAGATAACTTGTCTGCAACCATTCACTCAGTGAAGAAACTTGTTTAAACATACTTCATTTTGCATATAGGTACTGGAACCCTATGTTTGTAATAGACTGGTGCATATAGGAACTAGAACCCTGATTACAATACTTTTTGACTTACTCTTATATACATGTATATGTGCTTCAAGAAGTTAATGGGAAAATTCCATTATCTTTTAATTCCATTTTCCCACAAATTAAAAATATATATATATATTTATATATATATATGTTGTTGTTAAGTGCCATTGAGTTGATTCTGACCCTGTATAGGGTTTCCAAGGAGCAGCTGGTGAGCTTGAACCACCAACCTTGCAAAACCCTATACAGGTTCACTATGAGTCTGAACCAGCTCGAAGGCACTGAACTATATATTGTTATTATATGTATATATACACACACATATATATGCAACAATAATATATGTATGTATATATAAGGGAGCACCGTGGATCTTTAGGATAAGCACTGAACTGGGAACCACAAGGTTAGTGGTTTGAGTCCACCTGCTGCTCCTTGGGAGAAAGATGAGCCTTTCTGCTCTGGTAAAGATTTACAACCTCGGAAACCCTATACAGAGTGGCTATGAGTCAGAACAGACTCATTAATACTTAACAATGTATATATGTATGTACAATATGTAAATATATATGAATATGTGTGTATATGTATATATATACGTATATATGTTGTTGTTTTTGTTGTTAAGTGCCGTCGAGTCGGTTCCGACCCATAGCGACCCTGTGCAGGGTTTCCGAGGGTGTAAATCCTTACGGGAGTAGACAGCCTCATCTTTCTCCCGCGGAGCGGCTGGTAGTTTCGAACCGCTGACCTTAAGGTTCGCAGCCCGATTCATAACCACTACGCT